CCCCTGAGGCAGATAATGCACTATAGCTTCAGAAACTCTCCGGTCTGTGCTCCTTGTTGCTCACTTAGGTGCGGGGGGCTGGGGGGTTGGGGTGTGGGGGGGAAGCTCTCCATGAATCCCAGGCCCAAAAATTGCCTTGGTAACTATTTTTCCGTATATCCACTTCTGGCCTCCTTGCAAAACCTCTCTCCACAGAGATGGGCCACAGGTCAACCTCTCACCCGTGAACATCCCCTTCTGTTCCCAGAATTCCAGAAACCTTTCCTCAAATCCTGCTCAGTTTTGTGAATGGTCAGTCTCTGGGGCCAAGGTGGAGGTGATGCAGGCCAGGCCTGGAGGCAGCATCTCCCTGGACCCACATCTGCCATGGTGCATTTCCTGGTCCTTCCAAGGCGTGTTCTCTGGGCCTCGCTGCCTCCACATGAGATTCCCCGGAGTCCTTGGGCAGGGGAAGTCGGAGCAGGCCTCCCCACTCCCACTCCCACAGATCTATGCCACACAATTGCACCAGCTCTTTGTCTTTGTGCTTGTTGGGAAGGTGAGCAAGGTTGGGTCTGCAGTGCTCAGAGCTTACTCCTTGCTCTGTTCTTCAAGAATCACTACTGGAAGAACTTGGGGACCATATGTGGCGCTGGGGATCATACCCAGGTTGACAGCATGCAAGGGAAGCACCCTTCCCAGTGTTCCCTCTCTCAGCCCTTCAGCAATGCTTTTTTTTTTTTTGGCCTGGATTAGCCTGGATTAGTATTCTAACCATTTCCCTGTCCCCAAATACGTCTCCTCAACCCCACTGCATCATCCAGACCAACTACAAATTACGTTCACATACACATACACAGGGAAAAGAATATTAAGGAAAAATCTAGACTTTGCTTCTTTGCAAATACAAGTCAAGGAATTGGTCCAAATTTCCCCTCTCCCTTTTTATTGCCATGGCGGCATTTTGATGGTGGTGCTCTCTCTCCAGGGACCCAACACCACAGCACTCTTTCCTGCAAACCTTTTGCTGCCCTGGTTGCACCTGTGCTCACCCAAGGGGCCCACTCTTTAACGGTGAGGCTAATAGGCGTTCCCACACCTGGCCACTGTGTTCACACCCAGCTGTGATGCCCTAGAGAGCATATGCCCCACGGCAGCAACACTGCAGGGGCCATGGCCAACATGTGTGTGCAGCACCAGGGATCAAACTCCAGGAATTAAGGGGCTGGACCGATAGTGGAGTGGGTAGGGCATTTGCCTTGCATGCAGCTGATCTGGGTTTGATCCCCAACATCCCATATGGTTCCCTGAGCATAGCCAGAAGTAATTCCTGAGTGCAGAGCCAGGAAAGACTCCTGTGCATCACTGGGTGTGACCCAAAAAGCAAAAAAAAAAAAAAAAAAAAAAAACCCAAAAACCTCAAGGGAGTGGCACAGTAGGTGCTTTTTGCAGGTCCTTGAATTTTTTGTTTGTTTGTTTGCTTGTTTGTTTGTAAGCCACACCCAATCATGCACAGGGGTTACTCCTGGCTCTGCACTCAGGAATCACTCCTGGCAGTACTCCGAAGACCATACAGGATGCCGGGGATTGAACCTGAGTTGGCCCTGTGTGAGACAAACACCCTTCCCATTGTACTATCACTCTGGCTCCCTGGACTCTGGGATTTTTTTATGCAAAAATCCAACCCCCATGCCTTGAGGAAGCAGGCAGGCTGGCTCAACACAACCAAGCACTTCTGTAAGAGAGCAGATGCTCAGTGCCAAGAGGTGAAGAGCCTGGATTCTGGCTCTCCTACTCACTACCTACACAATGGCCTGACCTGCTTCGGTTTTTTTCTGGATTAAGATAGAGAAAAGATCTGTCCCAGAGAGTTTATGTGAGACTTACATGAGATACTGCATGCTAAAGTTTGCAGACTCAAAGTTTACAGCAGGAACTCTCAACCAGTGCTTGACATTCTTGTTACTATTTAGTTTTGTGTGTTTTCCCCCCATGTCTAAATTAGTTCCACAGGATCTCATCACCCTATTCCTTCTGACTGCCTGTTTGTCTGGTGCTGGCAAGACACTTCCAACTTGAAGCCTTTCTGGATTGATTTGCAGGATTCTCTTTGGAAAGTCTTTTCCTCTTGAGTCTATCTACATTTGCGTGCCTGGAAACCTCCCTTCCTTCAACATGAATATCTTCAAGGAGACCAGCCTTTATTGCTTGTCTATGAAGGGGAACAGAAGAAGGTCATATGGGGAAGAGGAAAGGTAGGAAAAATTAGCATTGCTTCTGCTCAACTTTAGCTCTCCAAGTCCAGGGATGAGGCTGAGGTAGGTGCATTCTTTGCGCATATGAGACCCTAAGTCTGATATCCAACATCTCAAAACAACAAGATGTGCTCTCCAAACCTTAACAGTAACTTCAGCGTGTAAACAGCAGATAATGACCCACAGAGTCTCTTAAGAAATATATTTAGGGGCTGGAGAGATACTGCATAGGTGAAGCGCTTGACTTGCAGGGCCAACCTGGATTCCATCCCAAGTTCTGCATGTGGTCTCCCCAGCACCTGAGCACAAAGCCACTAGTCAGTCCTGAACACAGCCAGGTGTGGCCCAGAAACACAAAAGAAAACAAGATAGACTTTTAAATGTATAAGAACTCTCCTCTATATCTTATCACCTCTGCCTCCACCTGCTCTTTGTAATTCAGAATCCATTAAAGGAAGGTGCTTTCTAGAGACCACACCCTTTCCTTACATTCTCTCTTTGAATAAGGAAGAGGAAGGGAGGAAGGAAGGAAGGAAGGAAGGAAGGAAGGAAGGAAGGAAGGAAGGAAGGAAGGAAGGAAGGAGAGAACAGAAGTTAAGTTCAATTCCCTAACACCCTAGTTCAATTCCCCAGCAGAGCTGGTATAGAACCCCAGAGCCTATAGCACAGAACCTAAAGTAACCCCTGGACACTATTGGGTATGACTCAACATCCTCCCTCACCCACTCCTCCACACCCCTCCAAAAAGAAAATGAAAATGTTAAGAAATTGCCAACTGCTGGGAATTTGTATATCAGGTCTATTATTCTTTTGTTTATTTTTTGGACAGGGATCCCACTTTGCAGAGCTGGTGGCAAGGAGGGGAGGCAGGATTTCACACCTGAGGCACACCTGCCCTGTCCCAGGCCGAGACTGCTTGACTCTGAAGAGCCTCCTCTGTTAGAAGCCACTTTGCTTTTCTCTAGCATTTGCTGCAGAGGAAAGCATGCAGCGAGCCATATCTGTGTAAGCCTGTACCTCGCAACACACACACACACACACACACACACACACGCACAACATGTGTATGTGCGCGCGCGCACACACACACATTCTTGGCCCAAAAGACCAATTGGAACAGCATAGTCAAGACTATATTGGCTTGTTAGCTTGATCATTATATATATATATTAATATACATATATTATATATATATCTGGAGCGATAGCACAGCGGGTAGGGCGTTTGCCTTACACGCGGCCAACATGGCCAACCCGAGTTCGATTCCTCCGTCCCTCTCGGAGAGCCCGGCAAGCTACCGAGAGTATTCGATATGCCAGACACAGTAACAACAAAGTCTCCAATGGAGACGTTACTGGGCCCGCTCGAGCAAATCGACGATCAACGGGAGGGCCTTTACCTTTACCTTATAGGCTGGAGTGATAGCACAGCGGGTAGGGCGTTTGCCTTGCACGCAGCCAACATGGCCGACCCGAGTTCGATTCCTCCACCCCTCTCGGAGAGCCCGGCAAGCTGCCGAGAGTATTCGATATGCCAGACACAGTAACAACAAAGTCTCCAATGGAGACATTACTGGGCCCGCTCGAGCAAATCGACGATCAACGGGAGGGCCTTTACCTTACCTTACCTTTTAAAGTATTAAATGCTCATGACCAGTGGAAAAAGACCAGTGGAAAAAAAGATTTTTTTTCCCCACATTTCTACCTCCTCCTCCGAACAGCTTTATCAAGTTAAAACTTTGTCCATATCTATCAAAAAGCCAATAGAGCCTAATGGTTTGCCTAAATAATCCACAGTCAATGAGAAAATGCAGCATCTCCTGGATGCTTCTGCATTTCTCAAATAAATAAATACATTTCCTAGGGTCCTTCAATAGTCTCTCTCTCTCTCTCTCTCTCTCTCTCTCTCTCTCTCTCTCTCACACACACACACACACACACACACACACACACACACCAAAGGGAAAAACTGGATTCTGATCCTTTACAGGTGAAATAGAGGATGGAGCGATAGCACAGCGTAGGGTGTTTGCCTTGCACGCAGCCAGCCCAGCCAAGCCGGGTTCGATTCCTCCATCCCTCTCGGCAAGCTACCGAGAGTATCTCACCCACACGGCAAAACAAAGCCTAGCAAACTACCTGTGACATATTCAATATGCCAAACACAGTAACAACAAGTCTCAAAGTGGAAACGTTACTGGGCCCACTCGAGCAAATCGATGAACAACGGGAGGACAGTGTTTGACAGGTGAAATGGAAATAATATGCACTAGCCTTCCCTCCTTAAAACAAGGCCCTGGAGAAATGAAGCCAGGGGTGTGGGAAGATCAGTCTTTAGAGAACCTAAATAAAGACAGAACCCCCATAGATTTGCAGTGTTGGAACTGCCCAGTAGACTCACAGCCCTAGAGTGGCCCCAAAGTACAAGCCTCTCTGAACTGAATACCAGGAACCACAAGGTACAGGTGACAGAAAAGAGGGTCAGTCAGGGAACACGTCAAGAGCAAAGCAAAGCATAATAAAGGGAGCCAAGTGTAAGATCACAGGCAAAACTTGAAAACAGTGAAATAGAGGAGGCGGCAATTTTCATCCGATTTAGGTATAAAAGAATTGCCACGTTTTTCCTTACGAGTTCCTTTAAACAGTGAGTACAAGGTAACTACATAGTCACTGTTCCCTAAGTACACATTTTCATGACAGAATCCATTCTTTAGAAACAAAAATACTTTTGCATTTCATTTAGCGCTCCATTATAATCAGCTATAGCTTCATCAAAACAAAAGCAGATTCATTTTATTTAAAGTATATTATAGAAAGTGGTGTATTTAAAGTCTAAGAATAGATTGAAGTACCCAGAAAAATAACCTAACACTAAACAACACAATCCCGTCTTAAATCAGTTTTGCCTTTTTTAACCTCCAGGTTGATATCTACTGTGCAATGGATTGAGGAAGACAATAAATTTTTTTCAATCTTTGAAATATGCTAAGCATTGCTGAGTCTCATTGGAGACATCTTTAATCCACACCTCTCTTTATTTTTTAATTTTTTTGCTTTTTGGGTCACACCCAGCAATGCATAGGGGTTACTCCTGGCTTTGCACTCAGGAATTACTGTCGGTAATTCATACATCACCGGTGCTGGGTGGTGCTCAGGGGCCCATATGGGATGCTGGGAATCGAGCCTGGGTCGGCCCTACTGCCCTACCTGCTGTGCTATCGCTCCAGCCCCTCACCTATCTTTAATAGGCATTATTATTCTTACTATATAGATGAGGATACTGAAGCTTAGCATTTGTTCTTTCTAGACTTCAAGTGAGTCCTTATCCTTACTGGGTATCACATTGGATACCCAGTGTGTTGGGATCCAATTTTACTATAAGAAAAATTACAGGGAGATATTTATGCATCATAGCTTTTGTATTAAAATTTGAGCTTTAAATTTACAATCAAATTTGCAATACTTTAAAAATATTATCTGCTCTAATTTAAATACATATGTATGCATTTCTTCATTCTTCATTTTTATGCCTTAGTTCTGGAACTGAAAGTGAAAAAAAGAAATACTATTTTAGGCTGTTGTCTGGACCTCCAGCTTTTCTTAGCTTGATATCCACAAACATGTGAGAAATCTCTAAGTCAAACTCAGTTTTGAAAAACAGCCAATCACATCAAAGAAAAATAGCCACTGAAAGATATTTTCTAGAAGACACTATTCATGTATAATTATTTGAGAGAAAACTGAATCTCTTTAAAACAAAACAAAAAAAAATCTAATTAGAAAAACGGCTTCAATAAAGTCTTAAAAATCTAATCAGAAAAACTGCAGAAATAGTGCTTTTCTTGCCCTACCTAAGATCATATTGCAATTTAACCTGCTTTTAAACAAACAAAAATTTTTAAACATTTTCTATCCTTTAAGCAAATGCTCTTTTCTTGGTTAAATGACAATGCTTGAGAAACGCCTACCACAGAAGTATAAGAAGCCCCGTTGGCAACATGCCAGGAGAAATCCACCCAACATAATGTGTTCCAGAAAAAGCTCAATAGTTTTCTGGTGAACCTGCTGGCTTGGTATACACTTGCACAGGATCTGGAAAGAACAAAAGAAAAACCGAGGGACATTTTCCTTTCTATTAGTCTGGTGAAGTGGTCCTCCGCTCCTTGTGTGTGTGTGTGGAGGTGGGGGAGGATGGACGCATGTATGGCTAACTTTTAAAACCTCCCCCTGGGGCTGATGTCAACTTGTCAACTTTGTTTTACTACCCTTGAAACCCTACCTTCAAGTATGATGGTACTGTTTGTCCTTCCTGCCAATAAAATGAACATTAGCATGAGGGTTGCTTTGGACTGTACTTGTTTAATTAATGTTGAATTCATTCAAATGACCACGGTGGGGGATTAGGGGGGTGTCATCAAGAGAACACTTTAGATCATCCATAAACTCTCAAAATAGTATTAAGAAGGAGACTAGAGGGACTAACCTTTTCAAAATGTTTCCAACGTGTGCTCATAATTGGCTAAAGTTATTCACATCTCTAGATATTTATGCAAGAATCTCACCCAAATGCAAAAGTAAAGATTTGTAAAAAAAAAAAAAAAAAGTAAACCCAGTCCCCTTTTCTAAAGTGAAAGAGGGGCACATTTTAATATTTTATACCTCTGGGCAACGTTTTCTTTGGATGAATAGTGCCTTCTTTAAAAATCACACAGGCTGGGATTTTTTTTAAATTTCACAGGTCCATGAATGTTGGAGACTTTTGGCCTCAGTTCCCGCCTGGCCTGAGGCTTGGGGGGAGGCTGGGTGGGGCTGGGCCGGCCCAGGGCGTGGACTGGAAGCTTGACTGACCTTAAATGCCCCGCAGGCAGGCGGGGCGGTGGTTGGAAACGTACAATTGTCTCCATGTGATGTTCTAGCACAGCTGCTGGGTAGAAACAGCCCCGCTCTGCAGGAGACACCGAGGCCAAGCCTGGGGAGAACTGAGGCACCAGAACTTGGGCCTGGCTGTGCTCAGGACTTAACTCCCTGCTCTGCTCTCCCGGGTCACTTTGGACGGGACTCAGGGGACTGTAGGAAGTGCCAGGAATCCCATCTGGGTTGACCTTGTGTTAGGCAAATCCCTTACCCAATGCACTACCACTCTGGCTGTGGGTTGTTTTTCATAAATTGGGGTCAAGAGTCCCCAAGGCTCCTGGGGAACTTTGGGAGTCACACCTGGCGATTTTCCGGATGGTGGGTGCTGCTCGGGCCCTGTGGTCCCAGGGACACCACCAGGCCACTCCTGGTGCCCTGGGCCTATAGAGCCATACCCAGCCATGTTCAAGGACAGTATGGTGCCAGGGATCGAATTGGGATTGGCTCACTGCAAGGCATGTGCCTTGATGCCTTGACTCTCTTTGGCCCTAACCTGTAGGCTTTGGGGGAACTCCCAGTGATGCGTCTCTGGGAGAGGAGCGGGGCTTCTCATGGAACTTAAAGGCTCCGTGTAAATCCTTACCATGTACTGTCCAAATGCAACCTCTCGCCCTTCAAATGAGCACAGCAGAGCACTCTCTTTCACTTCCTGCACATCCTTAAAAAGACACACACACACACACACACACACACATATCCAGGCCACATGATGCTAATTTTGTTATTTTAAACCTGTTTAGCACAGGGTGATGTATGTCCTAAACATTGCCTATTCATTCAACAATACTTTTGAAAAATTGTTCCTCTTCCATCGTTGTGGTAATGACTAGAGGTGCGTGCACATGAGGCTTGGGACCACACAGGGCTGCCCCCTTTAGTGGTGGAGCTTGAGCACATTCAGGGGACAGAACTCTCTCCACTCAGCGCCTGGCAGTGATGCCCACATGTCACATACTGGGTGGTGGTGTCGTGGACACCAGCTGAGGCTCTAGGAGCATGCATTCAGCACACGTGGGGCAGTGCTAGGGGTAGAACTCACAGCCTCGCGCTGGCAAAGCAGGTGCTATGCCTCTGGGCCGTGCCTGGCCTCATAGCAATCATTGGGAGACCAGCAATCATGTGGTTACATAAAAATGCCTTTCCTTTTGGCAACAGAGTAGGAGTCCATCATTTGAAACTGCCATTTATTTAACCGCTTGTTGCCCTGTTGAGGGACATTTCGCATCGGGTGTGTCGGTGTCTGGAAGGTGTGATGTGCCCTTCCGGCCTGCTCCCATCTTTCCTTCTCAGCAGCTGGTCTGCAGCTCAGTCTCCTGAGTTTTTCATGTAGGTTCGCAGGTTTCTGAGAGCGTCCCAAATGACACTTCTAGAAAACCACCTCTATTGTCCAGCACGCGAGCTTCATTCTATAAAATCTGGTGAAAAATCAACTTTGAACTTTAGAGGACCTCAGAAAGTTTAAGTGCATCCCTGGGCTTACAGGGGCTCAACAAATTCTATTCATGCATTCCCCCCTATCTTTTTTGGGGGAGGAGGGTCACACCATGCAAGGTCACGCGTGCATGGCAAATGCCCTACCCGCTGTGCTATTGCTCCAGCCCCTACTCCCTCTCTTTCAGACAAGAGAAGTATTCTAAAATCAGATGCAAATGAAGTTCACTTTCTTTTCCAATCTGGATTTTCTGGTCATCAACATCTCCTTAAGATGCTCCAAATGGGAGCCGGAGCGATAGTACAGTGGGTAGGACTTTTACCTTGCATGCAGCCGACCTGGGTTTGATCTCCGAAATCCCATATGGTCCCCCAAGCACCACCAGTTGTAACTCCTGAGTGCAGTGCCAGGAGTAATCCCTGAGCACCACTGGGTGTGGCCCAAAAAGAAAAAAAAAAGGATGTTCTACATTTAGGGCGGGGCTGGCTGGAGCGATAGCACAGCGGGTAGGGCGTCTGCCTTGCACGCAGCCAACATGGCCGACCCGAGTTCGATTCCTCCGCCCCCCTCGAAGAGCCTGGCAAGCTACCGAGAGTAGTCGATATGCCAGACACAGTAACAACAAAGTCTCCAATGGAGACGTTACTGGGCCCGCTCGAGCAAATCGACGATCAACGGGAGGGCCTTTACCTTTACCTTTAGGGCGGGGCAGGAAAGAAGAGAAAGAAAGAGAGAGGTGGGCAGGGAGAGGGGGGAGTAAAGTGCCTGCCATAGAGGCAGGTGTGGAGAAGGGTGGGGGTGGGGGGAGGGAAATTGGAGACATTGGTGGTGGGAAATATACACTGGTGAAGGGATGGGTGTTGGAACATTTATGACTGAACCCCAATTATGAACAATTTTGTAGCACTGTAGCACTGTCCTCCCGTTGTTCATCAATTTGCTCCAGCGGGCACCAGTAATGTCTCCATTAAGAGACTTGTTGTTACTGTTTTTTGCATATTGAATACACCACAGGGAGCTTGCCAGGCTCTGCCTTGCGGGGGACACTCTCATTAGTTTGCCAGGCTCTCCAAGAGGGATGGAGGAATCGAACCCTGGTTGGCCATGTGCAAGGCCAACGCCCTACCCATTGTGCTATCGCTCCAGCTATGAACAACTTTGTAAAAAAAAAAAAAAAAAGAAAGAGATAAATTCCAAATCCTGGTGATATAATAAAACTTATGCCTTCAGTTTTATTTATTTTAAACAAAGTTGTCTTTTCTTTTCCTTAATTTTTTTCTTTTAGTTGCTAAACCACACCAGGCAGTGCTCAGGCCTTACTCCTGGGTTGGTGCTCAAGGATTACTCCTGGTGGAGTTCAGGGGACCATATGTGATGCAGGAGATGAAACCAGGGCTGCCTGCCGGCATGCAAATCCAGTGCCTTAATCTCTGTACTATCTTTCTGGCCCTAACTTGCGCCTTTTAAAGTTGTGTGTGTAGAAGGAAAGGGGATGGGGTGGGGGTGGGGGTGGGGTTATAGGTGACTTGGTGGTGGAGAATGTGCACTGGTGGAGAGATGAGTGTTTGATCATTGTATGAATGAAACTCAATCGTGAAAGATTATAACTGTATCTCACAGTGATTCAATAAAAAAAATTTTTAAAAATAAATAAATATGCTTCTGGAGGCAGGGGGGTGCAGATGGACAGAGAAACAGAGGAGAAGGAAGTGGAGGAAGGGGAGGAAGAGGAAGAGGAGAAAGGAGAAAAAGAAAATGCAGCCAAAATCTGCCTCTGGGGGTGTGGTCTGGGGTCCAGCCAGCCTGGAGACCAAGCCCAGCACAAAGAAGTGATTCTCTGTGCAGTTGAAATCTGGGAAACAAGCACTTTTCCTTCTTTTAAAAGTCTCCTCCTGACACTTTTTCTTTACCCCTTTGGGTTGCTGGTGTCAGTGTTTGCCTTCCCCCTGGAAACTTTACTCTCTGACTCTTCAACTCTGCCTTAGAAAGAGGAAAAA